TAAGCTGAGCATGTTTTTTCCCACCCGTGAAACTTTTAGGTTGTGTGCACTACACCTCCAAGAGTTGGGGGCGGGGTGGGGGATTTCTGGGAGTTGAAGTCCACACATCTTAAAGTTGCCAAGGTTGAGAAACACTGTGCTAGACTAAAATAGGCCATAATATAATGAATCTGTTTGGATCTCACATAAACACACCCACTATGTTTGGTTCATCAAACATCAGACTTCTGCTGTAGCAACCCAGATTGGAAGTAATTAACCCCAAGGAAAGTCTCTCAGAGTTCTGATTCCTAGTAAGATTTATTAAGGAAGTCAAAGTAACAACCGAGGAATTCCAGCAAGGACTCTACTCTCCAATGAGAAACCTATATTTAGGCAAAATAGGGTGAGAAGTTTCTGTTTCCTTTTCTCTAGCTCTTCTATGGAAGGAAGGAAGGCAGGCAGGCAGGCTCTTGTTCCTTTTTTTTGCCTACCATCAATGTTAAAAAAAACTCATGCTTTTTTTCTTCAAAAACTTTTGCTCACTGCGGATGTAGTTGATTGGTGCGACACCCTCGCAATTACAATTTATGCAGTCCATAAATTCACAGAGGTACCTATCAACCATCAATCAATAACCCTCACCTTAACCCATCTGAAGGGGTGAAGAACACAACATAGCCAAAATAAATGGAGTTAATTGACTGGTATACAAAACTTTCTGGTGGGGAAAAACTTTTTGGGCAAGCAAAAAAGGAACAAGAGCCAGAAGGACCAATGGGCCTTATAAATGGATATCATATTTTGGTAGATGTTCTTCTTTGGGCTACTTCTGTTTTATGTTCTTTCAAAAAACATAATAAAGAATTTTTTAAAAATGGTTTGGAAAGAGCAACTAGACTGAGATCCAAGGGATATCTACCCTTGTAGCCTTCCAGAGGGTTGTGAAGACCTGGCTCTTCCCCCAGGCATTGGGCTACAATGGGGGTTGAGCTGGGAGGCTGTTTGTTCTGGTGCCTGGCAGGAAGGGCACTTCTCTTTTTATCTGGGTGTTTATGGATTGTAATAAGCCACCTAGAATCACCGTATAAGATAGGTGGCCATGTAAGTCCTGTAAATAAATAAACATCTTATCAAGCTGAGAACTAGCTGTCACACCCTGATTTAGCATGTTGTGGGAATCAAGCCATTGCTTTAGTACCTGCCACGATGTAGAGCATTCCATTAAATCTGTGTTTCTTAAACTTTTTGCTCTCAGGACCCCCTCTCACTTTTGAAAATTACGAAAGACCCCAAAACAGCTTTTGTTTGTATGGATGATACTTATCAATATTTCCTGTATTAAAAATTAAAATGGATGCATTTGTAGAATATTTATTTATTGAATCATGTAAAAATAGCAGTATTAATCCCCTTTGATATTAGTATCAATAAAATATTTTTCATGAAACTTTTTTTACGAATAAAAAATAAGAAGAGGGACATTGTTTTAAATATTTGCAAATATCTTCAAAATCTGGCAAATCATTTTGATTTCGTGGATCCCGGAGAGGGTCTTGGGGGACCCCCAGGGTCCTTGGTCCACACTTTAAGAAACATTGCATTAAATCCTCAATGGACTTTTTAGGGCATCTTTGATCAGAGCAATAGTGTTTTGCTGGCTACGGATTTCCTTTGCATTTGCATTTGCAAGTAGGCTTTATTGGGAAGGGGCAGAGCATCTTCTGTGACACTGTAAACCCAGGTGGAGGTTCCCAGGTAAATCCAAGCCCCGCCCCTTGAAAAGAGGCGGGCCTTCCACGCCCACAGCGTCAGCGTTACC